TATATATATATATATATATAATTATTTATTTTAAAATAAAATGTATAGTTCAGCAGAGGAAAAATTGGTTCACATTTAGCGTACAGTTTAGCCACAAGTGAAGTGTCAGGTACGTAAGCTGCATCGTTAATAGTACCACGATTCACCGATTTGTCATAGTTTGGCATGGTATGTGAGCCTTCTTGCAGAATCCAGATGCTGTGTCATCCAGGAAAAGAGGAAACAATTCATTATATGACTAATTAATAAAATAAAAAAAAGGAGCTTTTTCAGCATGAATGTATCCACTTGGGATCGACCAAGATTCAATTTTCTTCTTCTTTTGCCTGTTGATGATGATAAGACTCTAATGCATTCCATCATCACGAATACAGGATGTGTCATTTGGCTACAAAGATGACAAAATATTCCATCTTTGCTGATTTTTTGGGGTGTTTTTTTTTTTCTTTTAAGTATATGGGTCTAAAGAGATTTTTTAAGTCCTTATGAATCAGAAATTGACTTTTTTTTTTTCCATAGCCAGGAAATGCAGAGATATGTGGTAAATGGTGCAGCCATTAACTGGGTGATTAATAAAAAAAAAAAAACATGATCTCATTTTGTTCTTCTTCTGTGATATTTAAAAAAAAAATCAATAATATATTTATTTTCATTGGTATGATGTAATGTGAGGATGATAGTGCCATACATAAATTCATTTTAACTAGTTGACTGAATTGACTTTTGCCAAGCAAGTCATTAGTGTCTGTGCTGATTAAATATCCGAGGGAAGGAGGTACTATGTGGCATTATGTATGTGGGTGTGAAATAATGAAACGGTTTTAGAATGTAATTGGGTGTTGCAGTTTGCCTGGTGACAGCTAGGGGTCACTCCATTGATGGTGGAAGCAAACATGGCACTGGTCTGTATTCTGATGCATAATCTGTGAGAATTACATATTTCATTGCAGACAGGTGCAACTGGCTGCCTGCTAGCTGTTTAGGGGCTCAAAGCTCCAGCCTGCCTTGCCAGCATCTGGCACTTGTAGTTCTTCAGCAACAGGAGGGACTGTTGGTCTCCCCAGATAGTTCAAAGAGAAAGAATTGTGCATCTCCAGCTATTATTGCAATGATGTGACTTTCACATTTTACAGGACTGCTGTTTCGTATTTTTCCTGTTGTATCAAATCTTGAAATGTATAGATTGACCACTAGATGGTGCTCTATATTTCATTGCAATCATCCCCTGCCCTTATCAGCTACACAGGGGGTGCATTGTTTTCAGCGTGTCGGACGACTCATAGACTTGCATTGTGAGAAGGAGCAGTAAAGCACAACTGCCGTGTAGTGCTGCAAAGCAGGAAACAGCCTGCGTATATAATGAGGGGTACATCCATACAGGTGCACGCCCTTGGATGCAGAGAGTCGGGTGTAGAACTTGTGGTTCCACTACATGTACTCTGTTCCTACCTTGCTCTTTCACTGGTCTGGGAGCTTTAGGTGTCTCCTAATCTTACCTGCTGATTGTTATGCAGCTTCTCAGCCAATCAGTACTGTCAGCTTGTGGCCAGTCCCAGGATTCCTTCCTATTTATCACCTTATTTAAACTCAGTGCAGCTCACAGCTTACAGCACGAGCAACGCTTTTCCTAGATAGTCTCTGATCCCCCTCTATGCTGTCAATATGCTGTTCTCTCTGACCTTCGGCTCATCTGATTGCGATCCTGGTCCACAGCCTGTACTGACCTTTGGCTTGTCTCCTGGTGATCCTGGTACACAGCCTGTCCTGACCTTCGGCTTGTCTTCTGGTGATCCTGGTCCAAAGCCTGTCCTGACCTTCAGCTTGTCTCCTGGTGATCCTGGTCCACAGCCTGCCCTGACCTTTGGCTTGTTGCCCGGTGATCCTGGTCCTGCTGTTAGCTGAGTAGGGTGAACCTGGGGGTCAACATGTAGTATAATCCACCTCCACCTTCAGGAGCTCTGATGAATACCGAGTGGCTCTTAGACTATGTGCCCCGGGGAATCCCACGCACTTCCACTCTGCATTACGGCACTCTGCTTTTTTTCAGTTGGCACCCTTTAAGGTATGCAAATTCTCAAAGCACCCGGTCTAAAATGTTAAAAATTATGTGTGGTCCCTAGAAAATCCATACCAGACCCTTATCCGAGATAGAGGTCTGGTATAGATTTCAAGGGGGGGCCCACACAAAAACACAGAGTCCCCCTTCACATGAGGAGACCACTTCATATGAGAGCCCCTTCACATCAGTGCTCCCCCTTTCACATCATGTTTCCCAAGCTGTCACATTAGAGCCCCCCTCCTTTCACATCATGAGCTCCCCTTCAAATCGTGAGTCCCCCTCTTTTACATTAGAGTCCCTTCTTCACATCAGAAGCCCCCCTTTCAGCTCGAGGCGGATCGGACCGGGACAGAGACAACTTCCATCCTTTTCTGAACAGATTTCACAACCCTTCGGATTAGCATGGAGCTGTTAGAAAATTTAGAGGCACCCATGAGGAAGGCAGAGGGCACCCTGGTTGAGAAAGGCTGCTCTCTAGTATTGGCTTTTTTGGGGGGGAACTAAACCATTTTTGGATCCAACGCCTCCCACGTACATTTTCAATGCAGATAGTATCTCCAGCGGGATTTGAACCCAAAATTGCCAGACAAAAGCCCTGCCCCCTTAGTCACTATACTCATAAGTTTCACACTTACCCCTCACGGAACACTGCGGCACCTCTGTTGGCATTCCGTAGACACCAGAGCGTAGCCACATAAGGGGCCGAGGATGGACCTGTCTCTGGGTGGGTCGCCTGTTTCAGTCCAGCGCCGCGCTCACATTTCTCACACACTATGAAGTCGGTTGCTTTCTCATCTGCTTTTTTTGGGATCCTGCGTCTGGCTTTGCGTTAAAGGAGAACTATGGGGTCAGGGCTTTTCCCCATAGTTCTCCTTAGGGTAACGGGAGGACACACACTAGCGTCCTCCCGTTACCCTAAGCTCAGTATACCGCGAGCTAGAGCTCGCGGTATACTGAGACGCCGCAGCCGGAGCGGATCCCAACATCGATGTCGAGATCCGCCCAGCTGCGTGAGTGACAGCTGGCTCTGCCTATCTAGAGGCAGAGCCAGCTGTATCCGCCCCCTCCCCCGTCCGTTCCGCCAGTCAGCGCTGGCGGATCGGAGCGGGGAGAGGGGAATCTAGCCCCTCCCCCTGTCACGGCAGAGAGCCGTGACAGGATCGAGAGGTGAGCGAATGCCGGTATATGTTCGCTCACATCCCGATCTACTGAGCCGACCTCTGACAGTCTCATTGTCACAGGTCGGCTAGAACTATGAGGTGAGTGAAAAGCACTCACCTCATAGTTCTCCTTTAAGTAGATAACTCTACAAAGGGCCACATATCAGCGCCCGCTATTGGATTGTCTCCGTGTTAGAGGAAATGCGTGGTATTTTTAGTGTTCAGCCAGGAAGCTGACTCCGCTCTCTTCTGTTTTAGCTTGGGGATGAATCAGCAATGTGATCATGCAGAATTATTGTCACATGGGCAGGCAGGTGACCCGCAGGAAACGGAATAAATATAATGCTGGTGTCACCCCTCTGGCTTTGCAGTGAGATAGAGATGTGTAAATCACAAGGGTGGCTAAACAGAGTTCAGGTTTATGTGCTTCAGTTATACATTTAGCGGTGTGGCTGTCCTTCGGCTTCCTGAAATACGGTAAAGTGACCCCAAAAGTCAGCAAATTCGCAGAACACTAAATTTGCCTCTCCCATCCGCCGCACCTCTTTAGTGACCACTGAGGCTGCTTCTGGGTCACAAGTGGGTCATGTGATCTCCACTGAATGGGTACGATCAGCGTTCAGACTGGCTGACTTCCTCCTATGATCTCAGATCACATGTACACAGGCTATTGGTGATGTAAGCACAGTGGCTTAGTGGTTAGTACTTCCTCCTTGCAGCACTGGGGGTCCCCGGTGTGAATCCTGGCCAGGATGCTATCTGCATGGAGTTTGCATGTTCTCTCTGTGCTTGCGTGGGTTCCCTCCGGGTACTCCGGTTCCCTCTAGGGTTGCCACCAGTCCAGGTTTTGAATGCTGTGTCCGGGTTTCATGGCAGCTGAAACCCGGACACAAGATGTCAGGCAGACAGGGGCAACCAAAATTAAGATAGGGGCTACTGGCCCCCCACTGAAGGTGGCAACCCTAGTTCCCTCCCCAACTCCAAAGACATGCTGGAAGGTGAATTACCATAAATTGGTCTGTAGATGTATGCATGCGTGACCTTAGATCAGAGGCGGGCAAACTCTGGCCCTCTAGCTGTCGTGGAACTACAAATCCTATGAAGC